AGAGATTTTTGATAGCAGAGGGCAAGTTTGGTGCAGTTTTCATCATTTTGCATTTATGACTTGTAGAGGCCTTTAATGATTTACATAATTAAACAAAATAAGGATAAAGAATATTCAGGTATTCGCTTATAAGCCCTCTTTCCTCTCCTGGAGTTACCCATGGCCACAGAGATATGTTAATTATAAACTCATGCATTTCAAGAGTATAATTATATCTGTTATCACTACATGCACTTACTGTCATGATTGAAATATTGTTCCCTGGGGCTTTAAAATTTCTTTTCTTTTACGTTAATACTTTATCTTTCTATAATATTTGTTTTTTACTGTCGAGACTTACTAGCATAAAATGACTAATCACAATTACCAGATAAGCAGGAGAGACGAGAAGGGCAGAGGAAAAAAGAAACAAATAAAAAGAAACAAAGTGTCAAAAGAAAGGAGAAAAGTGCAGTGAAAGAAAATGCAGAAAAAAAATCACCTCAGCTTTTAACCAAGTTTCTGCTGCTTAAAACTGAAATTCAACCGCCGTTTCATTCACGCCGGTTAGGCAGTAGGGCATCTGGGTGCCATGGGAACACTCCGACAGCACATCGATGTTCCTGAAGAGAGACACGGTGCCAACCATGGCACTGGTGACGCCGAAGATGGCCACGCCCCACGCCGTCCACTTGCTCTGAGACCAGAGGGGACCCTCCTCCAGCTTGATGTAGCAAAGAGCAGGTAGGATGTAGGCCAGGGGCACAGCGCACAGGATCCCCTGAAGGAAGGAGGGAGGGTTAAGGTACGCTGAGTATAGTGTGAAGCATTTGTGGACTTCAATACATGTACAATGATAAAAGATGACTAAGCATATGTGAAAACTGTAGCCTACATCTATAATAGCCACCGCCTTAAATTGTGTGGTAATTTGAGGACGAAAACATCTAAGAATTAAACTTTGCGTTTGTTCTGTGATATCTGAATACCTAAACGTCTGAACACTTAAACGTGATATCTGAAGATCTAAACACCTGAACAATTAGAATAGGGATATCTGGGTTAAACATCTGAACACTCAAACTTCTGTGACATCTGAGGAGCTAAATATCTGACCACTTGAACACTTGTTATGTCTGAGAACTTAAACAACACTTGGAGACATAGACTTATGTGGTATCTGAACATCTAAACATCTGGACACTTAAACATCTGTGATATCTGAGGATTTAAACGTCTATGATGTCTTTATACTTAAAAATCTGAACACTTAAACTGAACTTAAACTGATACCTGAACATATAGATTTCTGAGATATCTGAAAACTTAAACAACTGAACACGTAAACTTCTGTAATATTTAAGGATTTAACACCAGAACATTTAGACATCTGTGATATCTGAGGATTTAAGCATCTGTGCGCTGCATCTTCTGTGATAACTGGGTATATCACACCTAAACTGTGATATCTGTGACATCATAATACCAAAAACTCTATCTCATCTGAAGTACTAAACTGGTGGGATTCAGAGAGACTTTTCGAAAACCGCAAATATTTTCGGTGATAACTTGAGTGACAGACGTTGCTTTCGTTGATATCGACCAAAATTGATACTGATAATGGTGAAAGGTAAGAATGATTTAGTACCAAAAGCAATAACGAAACACTTTAGTAACCCCGATGAAAAAAGTAAGAAAGACAGGATAACAATAATCAACTGATAAACATTTTAGGCCTTTTTTGTAGCTACCTGAAATACCTAAAACTTTGATATATTGTTTCAAGTTGTATCACGGTCGCTTCAAAACACGATATTATCTAAGTTTGTACTGTCATACAAAGTTTTGAGAAGATTGCTATTTTTTGTTTCACATAAAAAAGTCAACAGAAAACCATTAAAGTGCTTAATAAGCTGTTATGAATTTTGAGTACAAGTAAAACACTGGAAACTTCAAATAAAATGGAAAAAAGTATCTGACTACTCGGCAACTTATATTTTTATATACACCAATCTTCGCTTCGCAAGGCTGTGGAAAGTTTAAATGCATTTCTCAAATTCAGTTTTTTTTTTCATTACATACGTTGTTGCATAAGGTTTTGCACCTTATCGTATTCACCGCGAGTGAGCTCCATGAGCAAATCAGACAACTGGATAATTAAATTGATCGCAGACATTTACTTGATTTATTGATTGAATTAAATCTATAAATCAATTTCTTTGTTATTTTTGAGTCAGCAAGGTTATATCACAAACACACAGAATGATTTTGAAGACATTCATTCCACCGAAGTCAATACCACGTCATATGACTCGGACACATTAGAAATTCTTGCCATGTCGTTCCAGTATGATTGACTTCAAATCTTACCCGTGTAGAGTGAACATGTATTTGATATATTGCTATAAAGGTACAGATGCGTATTATCCACCTTTACTATAAAAAAGTCATATCAAGAAACTTAGGATGCGATTCGTAATTAATGAAAATATAAAACGCGAGACTACATAAAATAGATCTGAAAAATATCGCGCTCTGATTGGCTGGCCGGAGTGTACCAAACCGTATCAAGGTGAAGGCATAAACTTTGATACAAAAGGAAAAGATATTTCAACAGGTTCCGATAATATACGCGTAGAGGGTAAATGAATAACACACAGTAGAAAAAAAAGCAAATTACAAAACAAGATAAGATGAAACAAGAGAGCGTCGAGCGTCGCCTTACGTTGAGCTCGAGCACGATGCCGAGGCAGTCCGTCGCGAGCGAGAGCAGCATGCAGAGCAGGGCGATGAGGACCGAGAGAACGGCGTGGCGGAAGAACGGCTGCGGTTGGTAGTCCTGGAAGAACGCCGTCTCGAGAACGTCCCTGGCCACGAAGCACTCGATCGGGAACGTCAGCAGGATGGTGACGGCGTAGAAACCGCGGCAGATGTTCATGAGGTCGTCGGCCCAGCAGTAGTTCTCGAAGACGTCACCTGAGGGCAGGAGGGGGTTATTGAAGCCGGGAGGGGGGCGGGGTTCTCGGAGACGTCGCCTGGTGGCGGGGGGGTGGGGGGTGATGATAACGAGGATGATGGTGATGATGGTAATGGCAATGATGATGATAATGAAATATCAGTGGCAATCGCATTGGTTATGAAGCAATTGATAACGCAGTTGTAAGATTTATAATGTATCCATGCCTGCAATATCTACGTTGAACTATTATTTCTTTCTTTATATAGATTTATTTATCCATATATATATGTGTCTCTCAGAAATATAGTCAGCAACGTAAAGATTATATCGTAAACTGTTTGCAGAACTTTCGTAGACAAAGAAGGCTCTGCTCTCTGAAGAATTAAGATATGCATGGCCATGCGGTTCGCCCCGCCCTGGATGAAAGGCCTTTGACTCTAACTGTATTATCTCCCACTCTGAACGCTTTACCTCCTTTTAAGCTCGCCGTTAGAAATTCCTCGGAGACTCATCAACATAAATATCTCACAGCGAGTCCTCGTTTCTGTAGGATTATGGTGATCCTTGCGTTATTACTCACGGCGTCGCCAAGACCTTTGAGGGAGAAAGGGATGAGTCACTTCTCTCCTCGGGGTTGTTTGCGTATGCCATGGAGGTGTTCGGCTCCTTTTTTTTATCCCCTTTCTCGCTGCTGATATTTGTTACACGTTTTCCATTCCTGATTCCCGTTTTCCTTCCGTCGGTTCTTCGAAATGATAGATTTGCGCACGGATATCTTAGATTCCGCTTATCGTCATTCACATATATCGATTTTAACTAAATTCGCCTCTAAACACTGCGATTACTTTTCAAGTCTGGAGAATATTGATATGCTTCTAATTTCTCCAAAGTAATATTGCTTCATTATCAACAATTACAGAGCAATCTTCAACCAATAGATGGAGGAATACAGCTATAATACCAAGCCAATATCGTCAAAAGGTATCACGGATAGCACTCAATAGCATCTGCCAGTGATCGTCATTTGTCTTTAACCCCAAAGTTCTCCAAGACTTCGACAGATATTCCGCTTCTCTGTTCTATTCTATTCTCTCTCTCCCTGTCTCTCACTCTCTGTATATATATATATATATATATATATATATATATATATATATATATATATATATATATATATATATATATATATATATTCATATATATATACATATATTCATATATATATATATATATATATATATATATATATATATATATATATATATATATATATATAATATATATATATATATATATATATATATATATATATATATATATATATATATATATATATATATATATATATATATATATATATATATATATATATATATATATATATATATATATATATATATATATATATATATATATATATATATATATATATATATTTTATTATTGTTTTTTCATACATACATACATACATATATATATATATATATATATATATATATATATATATATATATATATATATATATATATATATATATATATATTTATATATATACACACACACACACACACACACATATATATATATATACACATAACTGTGTGTGTGTGTGTACGTATCCATAACTATAAATATATCTATAGCTATCTCTATATCTATCTATATATCTTTATATATGCATCTATCTACGTATCTGTCTATCGGTTTATCTATCATTCCTTCATTCTATCAAACTATTTGTCAATCAGTCAATTAACCAATTAATCAGTACATCTCTATATCTATCCATCCACCCACCCATCTATACATCTATCTATCTATCTATCTGTCTGTCTATCTCCCGCAAACCCGCCGACTCAGACCGTCTCTAAATCTGAATGACAATTTCCTTGAAGTTGTCGATCCGGCTGTAATCTCTCTCGGCCTCCTCGTCGCACACACCCGACCATCCCATTCCATTCCATTCCATTCCATTCCATTCCATTCCATTCCATTCCATTCCGGATTTCCTTGCCGTTTCGCATTCCAGGCTGTCACCTTTCGACCTCCCCCTCCCCCCCCT